ATAGACAATACAAATTAAAGGGCTTCTCACCATTTATCACAGTTTCACAACCCAAAACAAAAATGGAGGAAGGAATTTAAATTTTTCTTTCCATATTCCTTTGTTATATTAGGTCATCAGAAAAGTCATGGTGTGTTTTTTCCTTGCAAAATGTGTCATGACTTTTCCAGCCACCCAATAGTTTCTTTTACCAGGCATAGCTGAAATGTGACTTTTATTGCTCTACTTTTCATCTTAAGAGTTCTTCAGTTAGTGACCAACCCAGAAAACCAAGGCAGGGGAAACACTTAAAGGGACTTAAAATGAAGACCTGATTTTTTTTTTTTTTTTTCAAGAGAGGTTTTTTGCTACAGGGTAGGTTCACTCACCAGAGAAACAGATAGAAAGCGAGAAGGCACCCCTCAGTGAAGATGGCCACACCACAATCTCTTCTCGATTCTCCTCTCAGGATTTTCGGAATGCATGCAAACACACCTGGCATGAGTTTTATGCTGCCCGGTCTGGGACTCGAACTGTGATTGGCCATGTGGGAGTCCAGTGCCGTAACCATTATGCCATCTGTTGGTCCCTTGAAGGCCTGATTTTAACTATCTAGGATTTTTTTTTTTCTTCTTTTTATCCTCTCCCTAGAACAGAAAACTTTCACTGTTGCTTTAGTGTTCTGGACTGTCTAATTCTTGCTGGTTGGGATTTATGTGCTTTTTTTGTTTTTTAGTTGCCAGAAGGCATTTGTGCTTGTGAGAATGAAAGAGAGAAAGCACCTTCCCCTTGCGCCCCCCGCCCCATGAAGCATGGTCACACTACAATCCCTCCTCCATTTCTCTATCCCATTGGGATTTTGAGCACATGCCCAGAATGTCAAGCTACTGGTGCCAGGATTTGATCCATAGTCAGTGACGTGGGATACACCTCCCTTTGCTGGCCCTCCCTGCTTTGTTTGTTTGTTTGTTTGTTTGTTTGTTTTTGAAAGATGTTTGCCATAGGGTGTGTGTGCTCACTGGAGATAAAGTGAGAAATCACTGCCCCAGGGTAATAGCCACATCACAGTCCCTTCTCCATTCTCCTCATGGGATTTTAGGCATGTTCAGTGTGTTTTTCAAGCCACTGGGTCCTCAGAGAGTTAGCATATGATCTAGCACCTTAACCACCATCATCTGCTGTACCCCTACATACATTTGTACATGTTTTTCTTTTTGCTCTTCTGGTCATTTTGTATAAAAAGGACTGTTAGTTTTTGTTTGTTTTTAGAGATTTTTGCTATAGGGAGCAGGTGTTCACTGGAGAGACAGAGAGAGAGAGAGACAGGGAGACAGAAAGTGAGATATCACCCCCAGGGAGGATGACCATGCCACCTTTTCCTGCATTCTCCTCTCGGGATATTTTTTGGGCATCCACACACACACACACACACCTGGTGTGTTTCAAGCTGCCAGGTCTGAGACTCAAATTGCAGTCAGCTGCATAGGAGTTCAGTGCCTTAACCACAGCATCACCTTCTGGCCCCTAATTTTTATTTTTATTTTTAGAGAGAGAGAGAGAGAGAGAAAGATTTTTGCTATAGGGCGTGTGCGCTCACCAAAGAGAAAAAAAAATAAACCAGACAGAAAGCAAGAAATCAGCCCCCAAAGGTATGGCCACACTGCGATCCCTTCTCTTCCATTCTCCTCTTGGGATCTTGGGCATATATGCACACGTGCCTGGCTTGAGTTTTAAGCTGCTTAAGTCCGGTACTCGAACTGCTGTCAACTATGGGGGTGTCCAGCATAATCATTACACTATCTGCTGGTCCCTAAATGTTTGTTTTTAAATAAGTGTTTCTAATTGGAAGTTGCCAGTGCAACTCCAGAAACAGTCCTGCTTCTTAGGAAAAGTCTGAGAGAGTCAATGTAATTGATCTTGAGCTAAAGTAATTTTTTAAGGGAAAAAAAGGGAAAGAAATTGCCAACGTGGGCTCACTTAAATGAGCATAGAAATTATGGAACATTTTGTTCTTAACCTACTGGGCTAAGTGTTTTCCCATAGCTTGCTACCTCTGGTTTTAAGTATTATTTTTATTTATTCCTAGACTTCCTTCTTCATGTCTCAAATGCTCACTTATTCTAGAATTTTTCTTTTTTTTTAACTTTTATTATAGGGCATGTGTGCTCATCAGAAAGAGAGAGAGAAATCACTCCCTGGAGGGTGGCCATGCTGCTATACCTTCTTCATTCCCCTCTTAGGATTTTTGAACATGCATGCCCAGGCCTGGCATAATTTTCTAGCTGCCTGGTCTGGGACTCAAACCACAGTCAGCCATGTGGGATTCAGCACCTCAACCTCATCGCCACCTGCTGACCTTATTCTAGAATCTTTATAAAATCTGATAATAAATTCACTGTATCAGTATAAACTCTGCTTTGTGCCTTAAAATATTTGTAGTTGTCCGTTTTTCAGCTCCATATCACAACCCAAAAAGCTCAGAGTCATCCGTGGCTCTGGCATTTGTCCTGTGCTTCATGTTGATATATCTATGATATATCTAGGATCTGACCGCTTTTACCAGCTTACTGACCCTGTAATCCAAGCTACCATCATCTTGAACCTGGACTTTTGCAATTGCCATAGTTTCTAGCTGGTGTTTTTTACTTTCACCACTGTCCCCTTGCAGTGTATTCCCAATTCAGCAACCAGAATAATTATTTTAAAACACAAGTCCCAGGACCAGCAGTTGGTGTAATGGCTATGTCGCTGGACCTCCATGTAGTTGACCGCAGTTCAAGTCCCAGACCAGGTGGCTTAAACTCATGCCAGGCACGTGTGCATGCGTGCCCAAGATCCCGAGAGGAGAATGGAGAAGAATGGATTGCAGCGTGGCTATCCCCCTTGGGGGGGTGATTTCTCGCTTTCTGTCTCTCTGTCTCTGTCTTTCTGGCGAGTGCGGCCATTCCCCGAGGGGTGATTTCTCACTTTTTGTCTCTCTCTGTCTCTGGCGAGCCCATGTGACCTTTCCTAATATACACACCTGTACATACACACACACACACACACACACACACACACACACACACAAGTCCCATCTTGTGAGCTTTGTTCAAAACCCTCTAATGGCTCCCTTCACATTCAGAATAAAAGGCAGTCTGTCTGATTGGTTACTGCTTCCCTTTTCCACTTGGACCTTGTTTACCTATTCAGAGCCTTTGCATCTGGTCTTCCTTCTCATTTGCCTTGGGAGAGTCACATGACTGCCATGAGCTTGTTTCTACACCTGTGAATGGGCGTAAGCAAGCTTTCCTACCTTGCCTACTTCCAAGGTTATCGAGAGTTGGATGTGTTCCGTTTTCACTATTGGGCCTTGCTATTATCCTCCTGCTCTCTCTGAACCAGTTTTATGTAGTGCTAGTAATGTTCCCTCATGGGTTTTGTTCGTGTTGGGGGAAAGTTAAGGGGAACCAGAAGAAACCTTTGCTTTGCCCTTTTTGGTAGAGCACTGACATGCACACACCTTCTGCTTCTTGTCCCGTTGTTTGTATCTTGTGTTCTGAGATACTCAGGCTTCCTTTGCCATAATATACTGACGGAAGAGAGGAGCAGTGGAAGGGGAGAGGTGAGTCTGGGATCTTGTCCTCCCTGGGCCTTCTGCAGTTGCCCAGGCACCAAACCCGACTGTCATCCATGGGAGCAGCAAAGGCTGGAACTGCTGGGGTGAAAAAGTCCAGCAGCTCCAGTTTTCCTTTTCTCTTGTTTGAGAGCAGAACTGTGGCCTCTGACCAGGCCGTCTCATTAAAAAGAAAAAAATAATCTAATGGTTTCTTAATTCTTCTTTTAACTGTATTATTGTGTAGAATATTAATTTGAAAAAAAAACAAGGTCACCAAGTAGAAATAAAATTTGGGATCTCAGGTGTGACTTCCCATAGCATTCAACATTCTTGAGTTTTACTAGGCCGTCTAGGTCATCTATTTCTTGTGATTCTTGTGCCTATTTCTGTGACCTGTCTGTACGGCTGGAGAAGTGAAGTTGGTCGTAAGCAAGTTAGAATGAGGAACGGGTGCTTGCGTACATTTGTGTGTATTTCCATGTCGACTGTGGTTAAGGTAAGATGAAGAAAGGTAGATGGCAAAACTGGTTCTCCAAGAGAGACAGATCCTGCTCATGTTGACGCCTGTATTAGATATCATACCTGGGCCAGGTTGAAATATCTGACTGTTTGTGGATATAATTTAATTTACTTGAAGTCTCTTTATATTGTTGACAATTTGTATGTTGATTATCTAAATTTCACAAGAGTCTATACTTTTAACCTTGTGTTAAATTTTTTGGTTAGGAAACTTCTTTTGTGAATTACAATTTGTAAGTTCATATAGAGTTTGGAATGAATTCCGCTGATTTATCATTTAGCCTTTCAAGGATGAACTGTGGTCATCTTTCTAGGGTAGGCTGAGCAAAAAGTTGAGCTTGAGTTTTTTTCCTGCAGTACTTTTTCATGACAACACCTGGACAATGGAAATGCTGAAAAAGATGAAGATCAGCAACCTTCTAGAAGTATTGGTCCAAATTTCCATTTATTCTGTATGACTTTGAATGCCATCAACTGATATGTTCTAAACTGGGCCCATGGTTCAGTCAGTGTTAGTAGGAGTTTGAAAAGATCCAGGTTGGGGCCAGCAGGTGGTGTGGTGGTTAAGGTGCTGAACATTCCCATATGGCTGATCATGGTTCGAGTCCTGGACCTGGTACCTTGCTTTCTCACTTTCCTTCTCTCTGTGTGTCTGTCTTTCTCTGATCAAATTAAGATAAATGAATAAATGAATAAAATTAAATAAATAATTCTTTAAAAAAAAAAAAATCCATGTCTAGTTGGGTTTTAGAAAATTGATGGAAAGTTTGTGGTACACATCATACCAAATAATGTCCATTCAGTGAAGGTGTTTTTATTAAAAGAGAAAGACTTCTAATACTCTGCATCACTTATATGTGCTTGAAACATTAGGTGATAACTCCAATCTTTTCTTTTTCTCTAGGCAAGTAAGGGAAAGGCTGAAGAACCAAGTCGCTCAGATGAAGGAGCAAGTACCTGGTTTCACACCAGGCCTGGCAGTGTTACAGGTATTTTCATAGTATGTTTCTGTGGATGCCCCTCTTACCCAGGTGGTCAGTAATACTGCAGACAACAAGCACTTCAGACTTAGCCTTTTTTTTTTTAATTTTGGCTTTGTGAAACCGCCTGTCTTTTCCATTTCTTTCTGCAGGTGCCCTTTCTCAATTTCTAAATACCAGTGTATTCTGACCCTCTGCTCTTTTTGCAGATATCTTTTCTCCAGCCTGTTCTTTTTTTTTTTTTTTTTTTTTTCAGCCTAGTGTCTCTTAAACCTTGGTCTTTGTAGGTTATTTTTTTTACCCTCTTAAAAATTAAGCCCTCAAGGAACTTTTGTTTATGTGGATTAATCCATTAATGTTACTGTTTTGGAAATTAAAATGAACAGGTTTTAAAAATATTTATTTATTTAAAAATATCAACAATAAGCTTACTACATGTTGACATAAATAACATTTTAATGGGAAGATACCATTTTGAAAACAAAATTTAGTGAACAGAAGACAAGTGTTTTATATTTTTACATAACTCTTTACTATCTGGCTTAATGGAATAGAGCTGGCTTGCCGTCTGCATTACAGAGAGGGGGAAAGTGAGAAATCATCTCCCTAGGAGGCTGACCACTCTGCAGTCCCTTCTCTTCCATTCTCCTCTTGGAATTTTGGACATGTATGCATAGGTGCTTGGTGTGATTTTCAAGCCATTGGGTCCAAGACTCAAACTGTAGTCAGCTATGTGGGAATCCAGCACCCTAACCACCATGCCACCTGATGGTTCCCTGAGACATATTTTTAAAACTTGGCCTCATATAGATGTATGATTATGGAAGGGAAAATTTTTTTAAATAGTCTTCCCGAATAATTGTGTATATTTTTCTTTAATACTGCACCAGGACTCAATAAGTAAAGCTTTTTTAAAAATTATTTTATTTTTAAACTTTTATTTATTTATTTATTTATTTATTTATTTTATTTTGACCAGAGAGGGATAGAGAGAGAGAGAGACAGAGAGTAAGAAAGCAAGCCACCAGGTCCAGGACTTGAACTGCAGTTGGCCGTGTGGTTGTCCAGCGCCCTTAATCACCATGGCACCTGCCAGCCCCAGTTTCATACTTCATTACATCTTTTTATATTTACATATTTGTGACATCAAAATGTTACAGTTTGAGTAGATATTTATTTATGAATGGTTTTGTAACATTCTTCCTTCATTCCTCATTTAGAAAGTAGTGATTCACCAAATTATGCAGATCTTCCAAATGATAAGACATTTTATTATGCAGTATTTAAAAAGAAAACACAGTCATTATAATGACTTCATCAGGAAAGTATTTAGAAGCCTTCAAGCTCATAGGGATGTATTAAAAAGTTCTAATTTTCTCTTAAAAACTTGAATTTTATCATTTGGAAATAGTTGTTTTTTCTGAAGTTCTACGCTTGCTTTATTTATTTTTGAGAAAATATTTGCCAAATATTCAAGCTTGAATAATCATTGCTTATCAGTTGTTCTTTCAAGAAAGGGTGGTATTCCATTTAAACTTGTAGCTAGATCAGTTTGCAAGGCAAAAAGCTCCAGTGCTTTCGCTAGTGCCACCCACCCTCGTTCTGTACGCAGCAGGGTTCTTCCCATTCTTTACATAGACATTTAAAGACATGTACCCAAGATCAGAGTTTAATAAAATTAATTATTTGATAGGCCAGTCCTACAGCCTAGTGGTTAAGGGAGCTGGGTCCCGCTTGTCCAACTATGGATTCAATCTGACCCCTAGGGGCTTGAAAAACATGCTGGGCACCTGTTCTTGTGTGCCCCAAATCCCAAAAGGAACCGAGCAAAGGAGAGGACAGGATTGTGGCATGACCAGGCCTCATGCTTTCTACCCTTGCCCCCATATACATTTTTGTCTCTTCTGTCTCTCTGGTGAGTACACATGCCCTCTGGCAATTAGAAATGAAAGAAAAGAATGATTTGTGTTGCTGCATCAAGGGTATTCCTTAGTGAAACTGGCATCTCTTTTTACTGAGAGTGCACGTAGTGAAGGATACTTTGACTACTATGGTTTGGTGCCATTGTCTTATTTGTACTATCACCCTAGTTTTACCCTTCATTATTTTTGTACCATCAGTACAGAATGTCAACACAATGAAAAGGGCAAACAGCATAGTAGTATTATGAACTTAGTTTGGCTCTTGGAGATCTTTTGAGACGGTCTTTGGGTCCCCTGAAGAGTACATGGACCACATTCTGAAAACCATTGCCCTAGGCAATTTCATCTGGCCCGAGTATCAATTGTAGGCCAGTCACTTCTAAATCTAGATCTCTAAGCTCTAGACTCTTGGTTTCTGGGACTCCACTCTAAGTCTCCCTTTCTCTAGTGTTTCTTTGCTTGTTTCTAAGGTCCCTTGCACCTAAACCATTTGAATCCCTCAGGGCTCAGTGTCCTGATCTCTTCCTTTCCTAAGTGACCCCACCCACTTACTTCTGTAGCTTCATGAGGGAATACAGTTGTCCCCACTATCAGCAGGGCACATTCCCAAACCCCTACTGGGTGCCTGAAACCATGGGTGGTTCCAAACACTGTATACACCGTGATTTTTTTCTGTACATAAATACCTATGATAAAGTGTAATTTACAAATAAGGCACAGTGAAAGATAAACAACAATAACTAATTGTAAAGTGGAACAATTATTAAGAATATGCTGTAATGAAAGTTATGAATGTAGTCCCTCTCTCAAAATATCTTCCAATACTACGCTCACCTATGTTCCTTTCTTTTTTTTTAATGATAGTAAGTGCACAGGCATGGATAAGAGAGAGAGAAAGCAAAGGTCATTTAACACATGTTTGTACAAACCCACAAATGTGCATTTGAAGGGAGTGAAACTGGTAGCTTTCATCTGAAACTCCCTTCAGAAACGCCAGCTTACTACTGCATGTTCTCTGTGTGTATGTCTCCACAGGGATCATTTAATCCCTTGCTAAATTCCTATCCCCTGTTCATGAAGAATTTTAGAGTGAACATGGATTGGTTGAGTATGCCTATTAAAAAGATTCCTATTGGTTCAGAAACCAGTCTGAAACCTAGAATGCTCTGAACTGTATAAAACAAGATGAAAGCATTTCAAGATAATGGATACTAGGCACATCAGAGTCAGACAGGCACTGGGCGACTGTCTTATGGGGAAAAGATAACTAAACATGGGCAAAGAAGAGCCTAAAAAGCTGAGGGGCAAGATGTCATCATATGCATTCTTTGTGCAAACTTGGCGGGAGGAGCACAAGAAGAAGCATCAGTCCACTTCTCAGTTTTCTAAGAAGTGCTCACAGAGGTGGAAGACCATGTCTGCTAAAGAGAACGTTTGAAGATACGACAAAGGTGGACAAGGCCCATTATGAAAGAGAAATGAAAACCTATATCTCTCCTAAAGGGGAAACAAAAAAGTTCAAGGATCCCAATGCACCCAAGAGGCCTCCTTTAGCCTTTTTCTAGGTCTGTTCAAAAACCAAAGGAAAACATCCTTGCCTATCCATTGGTGATGTTGCAAAGAAACTGGGAGAGATGTGGAATAACACTGCTGCAGATGGTGAACAGCCTTATGAAAAGAAGACTGCTAAGCTGAAGGAAAAATACGAAAAGGATATTGCTGCATACCGAGCTAAAGGAAAGCCTGATGCAGCAAAAAAGGGGAGTTGTCAAGGCTGAAAGGAGCAAGAAAAAGGAGGAGGAGGAGGAAGATGAAGATGGGAAAGAAGATGATGAGGAAGAAGATGAAGATAACGATGAATAAGTTGGTTCTAGCACAGTTTTTTTTTCCTTGTCTATAAAGCATTTAGCCCTCTGTACACAACTCACTCGTTTTAAAGAAAAAAATTGAAATGTAAGGCTGTGTAAGATTTGTTTTTAAACTGTACGGTGTCTTTTTTTGTATAGTTATCACACTACCAACTGTGTCTTTAGATAGCCCTGTCCTGGTGGTATTTTCAGTAGCCACAAACCTTGCCTGGTATAGTATAGAGGTTGTAAATTGGCATGGAAATTTAAAGCAGGTTCTTGTTGGTGCACAGCACAAATTAGTTATATATGAGGAAAGTAGCTTTTTTACCTTCAGTTGTCTCTGATGCAGCTTATACGAAATAATTGTTCTGTTAACTGAATACCACTCTGTAATTGAAAAAAAAAAAAAAAGTTGCAGCTGTTTTGTTGACATTCTGAATGTTTTTAAATGCAGTTTTTATTTTTAATTAAAAAAAGGATAATGGTGGGACCAGCAATTTGGCATAATGGCTATGTTGCCAGACTCCATGTAGTCGACCGCGGTTCGAGTCTTGGACCCAGTGGCTTAAACTCAGGCTGGACACATGTATGTGCGTGCCCAAGATCCTGAGAGGAGAGTGCAGGAGAAGGGATTGCAGTGTGGCCTTCCCCTCCCGGGGGGGGGTGATTTCTTGCTTTCTGTCTCTGTCTCTCTTTCTGGCGTGCTCACATACCATATAGCAAAAACCTCTCCAAAAAAAAAAGGATAATGGAAACTGTAAGTCCTAGAAAGAGAATACAATATTTTCACTAGCATCCACACATAGAACAAGGGGTTTGTATGCATAAAACAGAGACAGTATGGGATATAACACTTAGAAACTATATAGTAAGTAGCATACCATTCTCATGAAAAGTAAATGTTTCATTACTTGATATGGTTGGTAATTTTACTGATGTAAAAGATACATGTCTATTTTAAACATTGTGCATTAAAGACTTGTATTTTATGTACCTAAAATTCATACAGTAATCCTTCAGTTTAAAAGAATACATGTAATTGGGGCCGGCAGGTGGCATGGTGGTTGAGGGTGCTAGACTCCCACATGGCTGACTATGGTTTGAGTCCCCCATCTGGCAGTTTGCTTTCTCTCTGTCTCTCTCATCAAGTTAAAAACTAAATAAATGGGGAACCAGCAGTTAACGCGATTGCTGTGTCTATTGACT